AGTGGAAGAAGTCATCCAGAAAGTGGCATTAGAGGAATAAGGATGGAACTCCAAGGAACCACAATACACACTCTTCTCACTTATCGACATGGTTAATTTCCAAAGACTAGGTCGTTATGCAAAATCGGCCTTATGTGAAAATGGAGAATGACCACATCAGCTCACAAAATGGAGGAGGACTGCATTACATAAGTGCCAAATTACATCATTACATAACTGCCAAACCACGGAGAATCATAGCCCAGCCAAGCTGACACATAACCTTACCCGTCACAGCTAGCATTACTCTCACCTCACACCTCAGCGTTCGTTACTGCCAGACGTACATCATTAATGTGCAAAATAGTTGGATAGTAGATTTTCTACTATTGCTGCAAATGTGAAATGTTGGCTAAAGAGAGAGTTGATAAGTGAGGAGAAGGTGTATTTAATGGGGACGTAGAGAAAGAGAAAGTAGTCAAGGAGAGTGAGGAGTTTCCAGAGAGACAGGAACAACAACACATCCACACAATACCTGGAAAAAAGGAAGACAAATGAGACATTTCAAAAAAAAGGATTCTATGGTGAACAGGGTTAGACGCCACAGGGTAGGCTAATAAAATAGAAGATATAAATAAAGTATCCGTTATATTTGGCAATTAGGATTCATATTTATTTATAACGCAGGGGGGTTAGTCATGTCTTTCGGCTTGTGCTTGGCTGCTTGAGAGGAACTGCTGATACCATTGGCAGTCATTCCAGAGTATAATGGACACAGAACTCTACAATATCACAAGATAATTTTGCCCAATTGTGGATGTCCAGACTTCAGGTTAGTCCCTATATATGTGGCAACTATCCCTATGAAGAAGTGAGCGCTGTAAGATCTAAGGATATAGCAAACAAACATTAAGGAGAGATTGTGATCGAAGGAAAAGGACACATCCATACATCATAGAAGGTGAGATCTTAGAGGAGAAAATTGACTTTCTCTTGGGGTATGTAGATCCGTCCTTAAGAAGACTTTATTATGCAGGTATATTCTGCCACACTAATATCAACTAAAATTATAAAAACATTAAATTTGATTTTAGATGAAGCTTGAGTCATCTGAATCATCATCACTTTAATTTCCATTTTGGTCAGGGCTTCAGTGACAGTCCAAGAGCTACTAAAGATGCCGTTGGTAGCCATATTGAGAAAAACAAAAGAATAAGGAATAAGGAGGAAGAGAAGCATGAAAACAGCAGCATAGATTACCATTTTGAGAAGCTGAAGTAGTGAAGGAAAGAGGGCAGCTGGAGAACTTGAGCACATTTGTGGAAAAAAGCAAAGACAGTGAAGGGGAAAGGATAATGTACAGACCTCCGGTTAAAATCGTAAGAGGATAGTTTAAAAATCCGAGATGAAAGCATAAATCTCGGGAAATAAGAAAATTTATTCCCCAGGGGCATAATAAAAGAGAGCTGTACAGCACTTATGTCTAAAGTGAGACCACAAACGATGAATAAGCATTGATATAAACTTTTTATGGAGCCTGGTGGTGCAGTGGTTAAGAGCTATGGTGAGCTATGGCTGCTAACCAAAAGGTCAGCAGTTCGAAACTTCTTACAGTCATTCAGCATCCAGAAGACAGGTAGAAAGAAGGGAGATGCTTTGATGGAAATTGGCTGGGCAGAGACAGCAGAAAGACAAGAAAGAAGGAAGCTGAGAACACTGAGAAGATTACCGATGGACTGCAGGCAAGGAGGGCTGCTGAGGAGATGTCCATCTTCATATGATCAGTAAGTACACGTGGTACACATTACAGAGTTAGTGGTTACAGTAAGATAGCTTTGTTAATTTTGACTTTAAATGAGAGAGGACCAGGATCCCAAATGCCCAAGTCCTTGACTAGACAGATGCAAAAAAAATATACAAAGAGAAGAGATTAAAAAAAAAAAAAACAACGCTGTCCAGTCGATTCCGACTCACAGTGACCCCGTAGGACAGAAACCCCATAGGGTTTCCAAGACTATTATCTTTGCGGAAGCAGACTGCCACATCTTCTGGCGGGTTCCGACGTCGGAGCCCAGCACTTGAACCACTGCGCCACCAGGGCTTCTAGAAGAGATCCTAGAGGCAAATGCAAACTTGTTTCACTGACAAGGGTTTTGTTCCAAATCCCTACCTAGTATTTTACCCTGTGGTCTGAGTAAGGTGGATGTAACTGTCTACACCCTCTTTTCCTGTCTGTACTCACGTTGAGTGCTGCTCCATGCCTGCTTTCTTCCTAGCCCCACCTGGGTTTCTGCTTGGTCTTATTGGCTTTGTGTGGTAAAAGGAACATGAATTGACGAGGCCAACACCAAGATAAAAGCATTTAAACTCTCCTTGCTTCTCTATCCAAAGTGTTATCCTTAATGCAGAGGAACTATTGTGTTTATCTTTGAGGGCTCCATTTTATTGTCGATTGAACAACAAAAGCTTTGGGGTTGAATGAACAGGGTGGTGCTTGAGGAAGTTTTTTTTTCCTACATCAGTGGTTCCCAAGTTGGGGCGTGGTGGTAGTGGGAAGGACAGAAGATAAAGTCATGTAGGGAGTTTCATCAAGGGGAAGAGAGTGTGTGTGTGTGTGTGTGTGTGACTGCATCTAAGTGTGTGTGTGGGTGGTGGGGGACTGTTGTGAACACTTTCAGGGGATTTACATAAATACCTTTCTTTCTCCTGATTGAAGATCACCACTCTGCAGGTGAGCATGTAAGAACCACAGGTGTGATATCGGGAATTAAGATCTAGGAGGTAGGATGGTTTTGGTTGATGACCCAGTCCAGGAAGTGGGCTACTGGAGTGGAATGAAGGTGGAAATTATTGGAGTAAATACCAGGAAACCTGGTAGGCTGCATGTGTCCACCCCAGGACAGCTGAGGCTTGGATTTCTCCTTCTTCATCTACAGCACTTTCCCAACTGCCGAGTACACAGTGTGTGTTCAATAAATACTCTTAATAGACTGGGTACATTTCAGAAAAATGGGTTCATTTTAATATCAAGTATGTGAGCATGCAACATTGCTAAATACAAAAGTCATACAAGCTCACAAATGACTTCCGAGACTGCCGCTTTTGAAATTAAAGAACAGGGTAGGGCCAATGAAGACATCATAAATCACAGCTCCTTTCCTGTTTTCATTTGGTGGCTAGTACATTTTCTCCCTATTACTGCAGGATTCACACAGACGCTTTACTGCCCCACAGTTACATTGTTTTACCCATAATTGCTTCTCTGAAGAGAAATGACAATGTCATTCGTCATGTCTATAAGACGGTGCATTGCCACTATGTGTAGTAACCTCAGGTGTTGGGCAGTTACAGTGGGCAGGTCTGGGGTATTGCCTAAACATGGAGGGCACACCGTCTCTTGTGTATTGGAAAAATATTTCTATGAATGTGTGATAGTAATATGTTGGCATAGGATGCTTAAAATTGATAAAGGATAATAAATCTGACAAGTTCACACTTGTGGCAAATGGGTCAAAAAACTGAAATCTTCAGGTTTCTAGTTAATTAAACAAAATGAGTAGCATGATACCTAAAATATCCAAATGATGCTAAGGGTTACAGACTACATACCAAAAAAAATCTTCTGGATATTTGAAGTATAACAGAAAAATAAGTTATAATTGACTTTCTTTTTTTAAAAACAAACAAACAAAAAAAAGCACTTTCTATGATCCAGTCACATCTGGATCTTTACCCATCTAGATGAACTTGAGCAAGACAATTCCTCTTTCTTCAACCCAGTTGCCTTTCAAATATGGAGGCTGGGCCAGTCCATTTCTCAACGTTCCCTTTCAGATAAACATGCTCTGTAACTGGCTTTAATTTTTTGGCATGTGAAGTCGAAAGATCCTTGGAGACAGACACCCATGGGTTCAAATCTTAATTTCTTATTAGCTTTTTAAGCTTGGAAAAGTTATGCCTTATTGAAACCAAATTTCCTAATCTGTGAAACGGGATAGTGATACCTCTAACAGAATTGTTTGAGGATTAAATGGGAAAATACGTTCTGCAAAGTTACGGACATAGAGTCTGTTGTTTAGTAGGCATTTCGTGCCTTCATTTCCTACCCTTTCTTTCCCTCCTCAAAAATTCAAGTCCATGGGTATTATTGACTTGCAGATAAAAGAAATGACAATAAAGTTTGGAAGATACTGTGAACTTTTGCTGAGCACAATTTGTAGGACGTGAGCATTTTGAGAAGTAGATTTTCATCTTCCCAGTTTGGGAATGCTTCTGGGTAACAGACAAAGTAGCAGGAAGAGGTCAAACTAAATCAAAAACTCCATATGACTTTGCAATTTAGCACTATTATATATTCAAAGACAAGCATGACACCACATGCATTAATAACAGTATATCACATAGGAATATAAAACCTCCACATATTCTCAGCACTGGTCCTACAGTCACATGAGATCAGCCTGGAATTCCACAACTTCAAGGTGGGGAGAACTTTACCTACATTTGTAAGAAAACTGAGGATCATTGGATGTTTTAAATGGACTACCAGAGACAGTCTAAAAAAGCCCCATGAATATCTTTCCACACTTGTAAGTCTACTAATAGATGCATTTTTTTAAGTTTTAACTGGGCATTTTGCCTCCTAATGGGTTAGATAGAAGGAAGTCCTCTAAAATTTAATCTTTTCCCATTCTAGTCTCTAAAAGACTCACACTGATTTTTGTTTTCTTCTGGTAACATCTGAGTGAAGACCAAATGAGACCTATCCCCTTATCCCAGTCAGTTAAAGAATACTGTGAAGGGAAATGTCGGTAGACTTACCTTTCATCCTGTGTGCACCTACAGAGAGGGGCTGAGTTGCTGGTATGTCCACATGGATTACCTGTTGAAACTCTGCTCTGTCTGCTTCACCTGAGACTGTATCTAAGCCCTCGAGGACAACTAAATGGGCTCTTGATTGTACAGGGGCTTCCTGTTGTCTGATATTTATCCAGTCATTCATGAACCACTGGCGTATTACCGTTCCTTATTTATTACCACTGACGAGTGATTTCATAATACTGACCAGAGGAATTACACAGCTCACAGAAAGTTTCCATACAATAAGTACCATGATGTCAAAACACAGCAGAGGCCATCAACAGTATTAAGGAAGATTTCGTTAACTTCTAATGACGATTATTATTGTATCAGAATGTAATTCACACTAATTATTAGTAAAAGTTTACAAACATTAAAAAGTGCTTAATAACATTTGGATCTGATAGGGCTGAAAACAAAAACCATGAAAAATACAACACAAGGGCTTTACTTTTGTGATTGGTGTCCACACGATTGAAAGGAGATCTTTTCTCCATCATTTGTAGCCTCAAGGAAGTAAGTTGTCCTCCAAATTTAAATAGTCACATACAGCATTTTAAGACATTTGATTCCAATAGAACAAAATATTTCCAGTTCTTAGTATTATCTGTCTTCTCTTTTCGACCGTCCCAGTTCTCCAAAATTCTCATAATTAAATAAAAATATTAGTTGGGAAAAACTCTTCTCTTGGACATGAAACAAAACTGATAGGTTGAATTCTGGTCAAACAGACTGAATTCAGGTAATATTCACATCAAGGGATATTGTTAAATGCCAATATAATAAAGCAATGGAGTCTTGATGAATCTATTAGATTAAATTCACCTACAGTGACCAAGGGGAAAAATTCAGTTAAAAAAAAACTGTGCTCTATCCTGTGTACACCACCACACTACAGGGGGAAAAAAAAGGCAGCCCTTTTAAAAATGAGTGGTATAAAAATTCACAGTCACATACACCATTTTTGTTTTTCACAAGCAATCCGAGAAGGGGGCAGTGCTGAGCGTCTATATGGTACGATACAAAACAGTGTAAATAACACAGCAGGAACACATGGATATATAATTCTAAAAACAGTGCTTTCTGGATGGTTCTTTTACTGGGTCAAGACTTGGGCCAGAGATCTTTAAACTCTGGGGTTCAATCAACCCTTTGCAATTAGACACAATTAAATCCTCTGACATTGTGAGGGGCCAGATGCTACAGGAAGAATCACCATCTAGTGTCGGTGCTACTCTCTACAAGCATTTCATCATATGGTCAAGTGAAAGGATCCATACACAAAGGACATCCAAACACAAGCCACATGACCTCAACCATTGCTAATGACAGAGGTACGGAAACGTCTGTCTGCAGCCACAGCCTCTGCCCCCATTTTTAACATGGTAACGAGCAGGTTCCTGCAATGCAGCACAGCCATTTTCTTTTTCCCCTTTTCACCCATAGACACAAATGCATTCCAGCCGAGCCTGGAGATTGGAGACATCCTTAGGTGTTGTTGAAGGTCAAAGTGGGGTGTTAGCTTTCAGATTTTGCTGCTTCCCCTTGCCCTTCTCCACTTGGTTCTGTTGAGTTTTTTTGTCCATCTTCTTCACGTTCTGTAAGAGATCACGAAAAAAAGGCAAAAGGCAAAATAAAAACTGCTGCTTATATTTACTGGCTTTCAATGCGTCATATTGAAACTTCAGAAACACTGAAGAAGTCTGAAATCCTCATAGAGCACATGTGTTTTCTTGGTCAGCAGATCACCATCAAGAAAATAGCGTATATGTTTCAAGGATTGGCTAACTCAGGTCAGCATAACTCAAAAATAAAATAATTGAAATTTCAGATAGTTCGTGATCATCTAGGCTTTTGACAAATAGCTAGGAAATCTCATGGCTGGATCGTAGCACTTAACTAAATATAGTTTCACAAGCTGCAATTCTAGATGTCTTTAGTCAGAAATCAGAAATGGGGAGTAAGTTTACCTTTTTACATCTGCCGGTTTTCTTTCAAGAAATATATGAAAATTGCATTTTCTATTATTTATAACCCAGTTTATTTCTCACAGGTTTTATTAGTTCAAATTAAAAGTAAGAGTGGAAGATGAAAGAACATTATTTCTTGTCAGCTGGTCAGTCACTTGTTGGGTAGTTACGAAGGTCTCTGGGCCTCCTTTAGAGAACATGTGCACAATTCCAATAAAACCACCCTCAAAACTGTGCCCTCAGCAGCAGCCTCAGCCAGTGACATAGTGCACACTGAAACTGAACAATGCTTTCACTCCATATTAGTCACTTCATATGAGTGGAGGCTACAGGCAGTCCTTGACTCTAATATTCAAATATCTGCATGTGTTACTTGGTTACTAGGCAACAAATACGGCTTCGTGGTGCAGTGAATTACTTAAAATGGCCCTCTTAGCCATGCATGATCTTGTTAACTCCCACATAGTGATTGGGTGGGACTATGCAAATAAGGTGCTTGTGGCCCACCTAGGGGATTGGACAGCCTGTTACTAATGCAAGTAAGGTGCATGGGGCCCTTGTGGGGCTGGACCATGCAAATAAGGTATGTGGAACCCTAACGAGGGGATTGGTCAGTTAGGCCATCTTAAAGAGAGACACGGGGGTGGGGGGAGCTGTAACACAGCGAGAGACAGCAGCACAGCAGTAGCAGGAACAACAGCAGTACAGGACGGCAGGAACCAGGAGACCAGCAGGAGACAGCTGTGGTGGGTTTTGCAGACCCATGGAGCTAAGAGCTGGAACACTTGCCTGAGAAAGCCCAAGCAGGGCCCCCTGGCAGAGGGCAAGAAGAAGCTGTCCTGATCAAGAACTGTATCCTGAGTTGTTCCTGATCCCGAGTTGTACCCTGTTACTTCCCCAATAAACCTCATAATCATGAGTATAGTCTGATTTCTGTGTGGCCACTGTAACAAATCATTGAACCCAGCAGAGAAGTAGAGAGTGCTGTGGAAGGCTGGTGTCAGATGGGTAAAAAGGTTGGAGGGAGGAGGTATGTGACCTCCACCTCACGGAGAATCAGCCTCGGGCTGACGATCATGGTGATTCTCTTTCCTCTCCCTCCTGAAGTTAGAGTAGGACATCTGACGCCACACTGCCATTTTTTGCAGGCTTGGTAGACAAAAATATTTTTGGGAATTTCAATAATGTAAATTATACCAATATTTGCTAAGAGTTTGGTACTGTAATTCAAATGCATGGAGGTAAGAAGTTTAGTCCACTCTTTGGATCATAATGTCAAAAGTCAGTTTCTCCTTTATTCTTAACAAATATACACAAAACATCTCCCCATACTCCACTGGTATTTAGTCTTCTGGGGAATTAAAAGCAATTCTTTTACATAAATATTATGTTCTGTTCTAAATGGGTTCCAAGGATATAACCAGGCATTATATATCATTTTCATATATTACTTTTATTATGAGAGTAATGAACAGGCTCCCAGGATGTGCAGATGGCCTGAATCTGAGTGTGCAGATTAGCATCCAACAAGAACTTGATAAATGAGAGAAGCTCTTGGTAACCAAAGAATGAAGTCAAATTAGGTCAGATGCAAACAGTAGAATATTTAAGGATTAAAATGACTATATAAATACCAGATGAGAAACTTGACTCCCATAGGGCTTGGGACTTTCTAGGTATCTAGGGACACTTGTCACGTCTTAGCATAATGCTACAAACACAGAGCTGCAGCTGAATAGATGGTTGCTAACAAATTGAGGTAAACATGGAATAGCAATGTTGTCAAGTATGAAATAAAATGAGATGAAACACTCAGGAATTAAAAAGGACATCTCTCACAATTCTCAGTGATGTTTAATTTGCGATTATACGTTTGTCATTTTTTATATTTTAGACTTTCATATTGTAGTTATTAGTTGTAGTTCTTTTTACTTAGAATAATAAACTCAGTGCTGTTTATACTTGGCCTAGTTTTGGGTGGACTTTACAATTTGAAAAAGAAACAAAATTTTACAAGGGCCTAGAGAACTGCGATTAACGTGCAAAAATGTTTAGAAAAAATGACATTTGGAGGCATGAAGATATTTGTATTATTTTGCCTAGACAAAACTCAATGATAATTTTATATATTCTCTTGGATAAGAACAGGCTTGGGGCTAACAAATCTCAATTTTAGTGAAAACAGAGAAGAAGGAATTAAATGAGGGAATTAAATAAAATGTACTAATAATAAGGGTAGTTAAAGTTAATGCATTCGGGAGTTATTTAAAATAGAATATTTATGTAAAAAATAGAAAAATACATCTTTTAAAATAAATTAGCAAAGTCTCAAAGGTGCTGCAGAAAAAGTGTATTTGCTCACCTATGCCACCAAATTTAAATAATTCTCTTTAGCCTTTCTCAGAGCTGCTTTGAGAAGTGAATCCTGATAGCAATAACAGAGAAACAATGAAACCTAAAATACATAGGTCTATATACGCCAAGGGGATGCTGAATCTGAATTTGAAAAGACCAATCTGTGACCTAATGACCTTCCCCCATTGAATAAAATACTGTCCATAGGTACTTAAAGATAATGTTGTTCAGCCATTTCATTAGTGTGTGTATTATATATATTATTTATGTATATACATACATACATATATATAGGTATATATATATATATGTATTCTAACTTGGTTTTCCAGTAATTCGAAGGCTTTTCCATAAAAATTCTGATAGCTAAAATGTATTGAATGGTGACCACAAGTGAGGAACTTATTAAATCTTCGCAACATTATGACCCCTTAATTGTGAGCTCCTTTTTACTTGTAAAGATTATTTTGCTCAGGTCCTTCTCAGGGAAACACGCTCAGCCTTGATACCTGCCAAAGCTACTGATGAAGGAACTCTCAGGGGACTCACTGTAATACTCAGAAAGAAGGAAGGCTGCCAAGTATTTTAATGTATCGACCTTGTTGTTTTCTGTTTCATTAGTGTCAAAGAGAGAAATTGATTGCAGATGTCTTGCTTCGATTTTGGGGTTTTCTTAACCATGAAACCAAATATTCACTTTAAAGAAACCCCGGACCAAACTCACTGCGCCATCTCCTTTTCTTTCATTCAAAGTTGCAAATCTTTTCTTTAGGGTTGGAAGCCTGGCTTACTAAATTTGAATCTCAAAAGATGTGGCTGGGTGGAGGGGCAGAGATTATTTTGTGACTTGATATCCCTTGATCTCAGAACGGAGCCTTGGTCGCGCAGCGGTTAAGGACGTGCCTGCTAACCGAAAGGTCTGCGGATAGGGACGGATAACCTTGAAAGGAAGGTACCAGGGGTTTTACTTGTGCTTGCTTACTAATCTGTACTGCATAATTTCACCTGTTTTTCACCATGATGTGGACACATGTAAAACTGTGCACTACAGATTAGTAAGTAAACACAATTAAGCTCGCGCATACCTTGTTTACTGGTTAATCCGTCCATGCTGGCGGGTCAAACCCAGCAGCCGCTCTGTGGGAGAAAGATGTAGCAGTCTGCTTCCCTAAAGATTACAGACTTGGAAACCCTATGGGGCAGCTCTACTCTGTCCTATAGGGTCACTATGACTCAGAATTGACTCGACAGCAGTGGGTTGGTTTTTTGGCACCTAGCTCCTTCAAGCCATTTGCTTTTTCTGGAATCAAAATGGACTGTCTATATGCACACAGAATAACTGCTGAGAACAGACCTTATGTTCAAATTTCAGTGAATTTTGATTATTTTTAACATTAGTAAAGTCAGACTCCTTGGGTAAGAGTTAAAGACCCAATAATAAAACAAATTTTTCACAAATCCTTTCCACTGTAAAAGGAAAATGGAAGAATCTATTACCTAGGATTCACTTATATAGCAGAACACTTCTGTTCTCAGTAAAACTGGTACTGGGGACCCTTTTCTTTTGAAATGGTTCTTGGAACTGTGATCCATCAAACTAACCAGTGAATCTTGTGAAACATCTAACTCCCTATTAAATGCTAGAAGTGGCCAACATTGTCCACAGTAGGAGCTACAACTTTTTAAAATATTCCACATAGGCAATTTCAAAGCTTTTACAGAGACTAGGGTTTTTAAAAATCAACGTGTGTCTTATTGATTTCATTAGTAAAATCAGCTTAAGGATTCTGTATTATAGTGGGAAATCCTATAAAGAGAAATCATTGAAAACAGAGTGGAGTGCTTAAAAAGTTAGTCCCAGACTTTTATCTTGCCTAAGACTGTTTATAATTCTATTAGGCTATTTTCAAAGGTAGCTTTCCATGCCTTATTTCCACTCTCGAAATACTGCAAGATCATTATATGCACGTAGAGAAATGTGTGTCAAACAAACTACTTACCTGTCTTACTGATATCAAGACCAGCTAATTTCAAGGCTAATTCATTGCTGTTGCCACTTGCAGAGGAAACCAGGATATCATGTATTGCATTTCTTCTACCTGTTCTTCCTGAAGCAATAAAATCTGCATAGGTAGTTTCCACATCAGTCATTGCTAACAAATATCCACATAGCAGGGACTATAAAAGAGAAAAATTAATAGGTAACTATGATGTTGGTCAAAGAATGGTAAATAAACATGAACAAAGATACTTATCAAACTACTGGTATACAACATGAGTGTGAAGTAATTGTTTTGTTTACATGCCTACAAAGCAACTAGTGCATTGGGAAACTTTTTCTATAAAGAGCCAGATAGTAAATCTTTTAGGCCTTAAATAGTTCAAGGTCTCGGTCCCAGCTACTAAATTTTCTGTGGTTGTAGTGCAAAAGCTGCTCTAGACGGTATGTAACAAATGGGCATAACTGTGTTCCAATAAAACTTTATTTCCCAAACCAGGTGATGGGCCATATTTGGCCTGCAGGCCATATAGTTTGTTGACACTTGAATTTAGATAATAGAATTCTCCCTCTCTAGCACCATTTTAAGGATCTCTGGTGGTGCAACGGTTACGTATTTGGCTGCTAACCTAAAGGTTGGTGGTTGGAACCCATCCAGTGGCTCTGCTGAAGAAAGACCTGGCGATCTGCTCTTATAAAGATTACAGCCTAGAAAACCCTATGGCGAAGTTCTACTCTGTGACATGGGGTTGCTATGAGATGAAATCGACTTGATGGCACCTAACAACAACAATACCACCATTTTAGTCAGTCTTAAACTCCAGAGAGGAGAATTTGAGATTTAATAGCATACCAAGGTGAAGGGTTGAGTGAGAGTGGTCTGTCCTGGGGTAAGCAGAAAGTGGGTGCATTGTTTGTAGAGTCTAAGAACAATAATGAAGTTGACCAAAATCCAGTGTGCTTTTTCATTACCAGCATGCACCAGAAATTATAAACGTCAATAATCAAATATTGCACCCAATCCCAGAGGACAGCTCCCTTGTGCTCCCCTTGGTATGCCAATGCTTGAAAGGAATAATGATCTCTCTGCACTGAATCGTTGAAATAAAATCACAAAGTAGTCATTTAAATTTATAAAGAAGCCAATGGAAGTGAGCTTTCTCAAAAAAAACTTGGTAATGCACATATTTAAATTCTTAACGAAGATACCTATTTTCAAGGTAAAATATGACAAAAAGACCATCAAATACAAATCTTTAATTTCTTTTTCTATGTTTAAATGTATAGCTTTCCTTGAAGGTCAGAAGAGGGATGAATACTAAGATGGATTTCTGTCAGGCTGATTTGTTTAAACAAATTATTCCTATTCCTAACCTAACTTAACCATTTCAGTTACATATTACTGTGCTTTTAGAGTAAAAACTCATTGCAATCTCAAGAGAAAAGGGTCTTTTCAAAAGATAAGAACTGTGGAGGAAGCTAAAATGGTGGATCCCATACATCATCAAGGGCACATACACGAGCATTTTGAAATTACTTGGTGCCATTTACAGTTTCAGGTAACAGCCAGTAGCACATTCCTTTACTCTTAGTCTGCACACTGAAGAGGGAACTGTTCGTTTCATCTGGAGAAGACTTTTATACTCTCTTTAAGAGGAAGCTAAAACAGGAACCAGGGAAGCATGCATAATACAAGTTTTGAAATAGGAAATATATGTATACTGTATGCTTTATTGTGACGATAATATTTTAGGTAACATTGGTTTCCATTTACTTGACTAGAGTGATCTTTCTTTTTTTCTTTCTGTGGGATATTATTTGATGATTCTAACATTTTATCTAAAATTTCAAAATGTTCCTCAGAAGAGTCTAATCCTTGCCCTGCTACTGAATCATGTAGTTACTCGGGGACTACCGCCTGACCTCCTGGTCTCCCATTTTCTAATAAGTAAAGCGGGACAGCTGGATGACATATGTGATCATTCATGGCACTTCCAGTGAGGGCGTAAAAACAACAATTACTCAAAACTACCTCATCTCCAAAATCTTTAATTTTGAAATTCCCTTCTCTGGTCATAATCACCTATTCTTTTCTTCCTACTATCAATGAATCTATTCTTCACGCTGATCTGATCTTTAATTCCTTTAACTCTTTTTACTTTCATTTCCTCTAGATCCAGCCTGGGCCAGTTGCATAGACTTTCCTACTAGCATTCAATAAGTCCCTTTGATCTACTGTCATCTCTGCCTTTTTAAGCCTCAAGGCTGGGAAAACACCATGGTGCACTTTTTCTGACCTCATTATTGTGTGGCTGATTGTTACCAGAAAAAGTCACGAAATTGTGCCAATTGGCCCAACTAGAAAATTTTGGCTCTATTCTAAGTATACACTCCGAGTTGCTCAGAAATTCATTTGTTCGCCTCTAGTTGACTTTTCCTTATGCTTTCCTCTGTGGGAGGATTCCAAACCATTTCTAGTCCACAGACCCAGACACCACCCTACCATTGCCTTTAAGAGGTGACTTTGCATTTTCCTTCTCTGAGAATTTACAGAATATCTGCTGCAAGTTTTCTTAAATGTCTTCCTTTGCTAAACAACATTTCTCAGTAAAATCACCATTCTTTCTTTCCTGGATGAATTGTCCCCCTTTTTAAGGTATGCTATTGATTCTGTGTCCTTCTGTCATCTCCTCTAGGACTTTGCTCCATTCATGATTGTTTTCCCTGATAATCTTCTTTCCCTTCTGGATTTCTCACTTAAATTTACAAGTATGTTCAAGTCTTACCATACTAAAAAAAATGAACCAACCATCTAACTGTATACCCTTTCCTCAACCCTCATCCATCTTTGACTTACCATCTTCTTTCTTTCATTAAACATCTCAAAAAGGTTTAGCTACTTTCATTTTCTTGTTTTCTTTGAACAACCCTTTGGAATTTTTGTATTCCAATGACTTTTATACCGCATGTTTTATATACAGATCACTATAGATTCATGCATCCCTGATGCTTACTATAAAGGGTTTTTTTTGTATGTTCGGTGAGTGTCCATTCTGTCTGACCTCTCTATAGTAACTGGCCCTGCCAGTTACATCTTTCTTGAAACTCTCTCCTACAGCATATAGCAAATTATACATGTGCGATTATTGCCTTTGAATCAGACTTATCTGTATTTGAATCTAGACCTTGCTATGTTATGTATACTCTCTCTGTACTTCGGTTTCTTCATCTGTATATTCTGATAAATATACCTAGCTGTCAAGGTAGCTATGAGAATTTATTTGGAATATGTACATAATGGGTCTAACACAGTGTTTGGCACATGAATAAAAACCAGCTGTTCCTTTCTTTTGGAAACCCTGGTGGCGTAGTGGTTAAGAGCTATGGCTAACTGAAAAGGTCGGCAGTTCAAATCCACCAAGCGCTCCTTGGAAACTCTGGGACAGTTCTACCCTGTACTATAGGGTTGCTATGAGCCAGAATCAACACAACGGCAATAGGTTTGGTGTGGGTTTGGTTCCTTTCTTTGTTTCCATGATCTGTCACTGTCCTGAGTCCATTTTATTTGATCTTGTATTTGTCACAGATTTCTCTTCCTAATGCCACCTGTTGGAATAAGGACATATTCTATAGGAGCAGGCTCAGTCCTTGACCCTCTTTCCTTCCTAACTTGAATATCTCATCCAATCCCACAGATGACTCCACTCACTGCCCATTAACAGTGACACACCATGTTGCAGCATATTTTTACTTATTTCTCTCCCTTGATATCCATGTTCAATCTCTTGGCAGGCCACGCTGTTTTTTATTGGATGTCCCTCACATTTGCTTCCTATAAAACACAGGAAAAGCTCTTACCAGGACGCTTGTTGAGTGTTCCATTTCCTAGTTGTGTCCATGCCCCAGTCCATCCCAAATGCTGCTACCAGGATCACCTTTTGATCTTTCTCAAAAGTCTTTAAAGTCTACACCACTGGGTATAAAACACATCCTGAATTTCTCAGCATTTCATTTAAGGCCTTCCACAATCTGGAAAGAACCCACCTTTGCTGAATGAACTTCCACCACTCGCTTTTGTGCTTGGTTTGTGGCAGGATAATGCACAACATTTTGCTTCTCTGCCTGTGCATTTGCTGAAGCCTATTACCTCACCTGGTATGCCTTTTGCTTATTGAAATGGATTTAGGCCTCAAAATTTAGCCAAATGCCATTTTCTCTTCCATCTCTTTCCCCAGTCTCTCCAGCCAGCGCTTCTGCAGGCCTTTATTTGTATCTCCTTAGGGAACTTAATGGAGTCCTGGTGGCACAGTGGTTAAAGTGCTCAGCTGCTAACCAAAAGGTTTGAGGTTGGAACCCATCCGCCGTTCCGCGGAAGGCAGATGTGTCTATCTGCTTCCGTAAAGATTACAGCCTTGGAAACCCTATGAGGCAGTCCTACTCTGTCCTGTAGGGTCGCCACGAGTCAGGATGGACTGAACGGCAATAGGTTTAGGGCCCTTAAGGAGTCCCTGGGTGGCACACCCTGGGTAGTTAAGTTCTCAACCACTAGGTGAAAGGTTGGGGTTCGAACCCACCCAGTGGCGCCTCAGAAGACAAGTCTAGCAGCCTGCTTCTGCAAGGTCACAGCCTAGAAAATCCTGTGGAGCACAGTTTTGCTCTGCACACATGGGGTCGCCATGAGTCAGAACTGACTGTATGGCAACTAATAACAACAAGGGTACTTAAGTTCTAACTAGCATTGTGGTTATCTCTCCTTCTACATGGATTATACATTTTGACAGTTCCTGTTTATTTGTTTTAATCACTTACAATTCCTAACATAAAAATATATTGAATAGAATTGACCAATGAGGAAGGTTATTCTAAATTTCCAAATCCTGAAAATTCATCTACCCATTCTTCAAATTTTTATAGGTAAAGAATCTGAGGACCAGAAAGTTCAAGTAACCTGCCCATATTCACATTGCTAATTAATTATGTGCACGGAACTTAGGTCTGCAAAGTCCCAGTCCACTCTGTGTGCTATACCAAGTTCCCGGTACATGAGTAAGACTTTTGAGCTTGGAGTAATTCACTGCTGTTATGATCAAGATATTTTCATTACCTTCTAGACTGCTATCAACCAACACATGTTACTTTAAAGTTTTAGAATTGGACATGCACATCAACGTAGCAAATA